CGGAGCAGCTGTGGTGTCTCCCCTGGGCCCAGCTTTGAAGAAAACTGTTTCTTTGTCTTTTTTCTTTTTTTCTTTTTCACCGACCACTCATCACTTTGAGAGATCCTGAATCCACGTTGGTATATTGGGAGCTGGTTTTCCCACAGAAGAGTCCTGAATCTTAACCAAAAATAGACGTGAGGGTCTCCCGCACTGTACTGGAGTCTAAACTATCCTAGGTGTGGGGCTTAGCAATGCTCGCCTTTCCCCATAAAAAGCTCTTTGGGGTTGGACCACTCTCTACGGATTCTCCTTTTGAATCCCGCTGGCTCTGCCAGTTGTCCCCAGCACCCACAGCCACAGAGAGGGAGTCACAAGGTGGAGCCCTCAGCTCGTCCTTCTCTAAGTTCTCTGCAGCCTCACTGGCCTCATCTGAACAGTGGGGATGGTAGTTACCACTTCACAGCCTGCCTGGAGAACAAAACCCAGTCGTATTCAAAGCACCTCACAGCACACTGTAGGTGCTCAAGTACGCTGGCCGGTGTTGCTCATCTTCTGCTGCGGCCCCTAGGCTGACCCCAGCTCCCACAGCCTCCCAACTTCCTCTCCCTGCTCCTTGCTCCCTTTCCTCTAGGGTTTGCTGAGAGCAGATGGAGAGAAAGGGTGGGTGGTCAGTCACCCTCACTGGCTATGACAGGCTGCAGCCATGGTGGGAAAAGAGACAGCAACCCTCTTAAGCACTCTCCTGAGATCCATGACAGACCTTCCTCCGGCATAGCAGGGGCTTCGAGCTGGAGGTGGAGACAAGTGAGATTCTGGGGCAGGGCACCCACTCACCTTCAAGCTCAGTAGCTGTACTCATGAGTAACACAGGGTATGGTGCGGGAGAGCTGCACGTCCCCACTCTGCCACTTACCATCCGCAAATCATGACACATTGTTACCCTCCTGGGTCTTGGCTTGTTCCTATATTATGGGGAAACCAATCCACTCACCTCCCAGGCTGACGGAGACACTGGGAGAAGACCCTCCTCCCTTCAGGACCTGCTTTTTTTTTGTCTTGGACCCTCCACACACTCCCTGATGTCATTACTGGACTTGCAGGTCCTGCCCTGTCATTTATCAAAGACTTCGGCTACCGGTTCACAGGACTTCCTCCACCCCGTGTGCTCTGCAACCTCCTGGATGACATCACCAACCACGCAGATGGTGACCTGGCCATACCCGAGCCTCTGAGACCCTTGGGGCCTCATTTCCGACAACTGCACCCCCCCCCCACTTCAGCTATCCATAGCCATGTTCTATTTGGAACTTATCACTTACAAGTACCCCTCCAGACTATCTCAAGCAGCCGACGCTCAGCCTGCTCATCTTCCAGCTTTGTGATTCAACTGTTCCCACCAGCCCTGCTCACTCTTCTCTCCTGCCATGGTCATCTGCTTTCTTCCCAATCACCAGTCCTGGCCTGTCTTGACTTCTTTCCTCTAGCCACCTTATATTCCACAGTTTTTCATTCAATTACAGTTTTGTTTTGTTTTTTTGAGACAAGGTCTGGCTCCATCACCCAGCTTGAAGCACAGTGGCAACAATCACAGCTCACTGCAGCTTCAGCCTCCTGGGCTCAAGCAATCCTCCACCCCAGCCTCCCAAGTAGCTGGGACTGCAAGTGGGCACCACCACGCCCGGTTAATTATTGTATTTGTTTTGCAGAGACGAGGTCTCACTATGTTGCCCAGGCTGGTCTCAACATCCCAGGCTCAAGCAATCATCCTGCCTTGGCCTTCCAAAGTGCTGGGATTATAGGCATGAGCCACTGCCCCGGTCCGATAACATATTCGGTAAGACTCTAAATTCTTTTGTCCTTCATCTCTGATCACCCCAGCCCTGGATGAAGCCAGCTGTGCCCTTTCTCTACATCTGTATCCAAGGAGCTGAGCACTGCGGTGTTGGTAGGGTGAGTCAGAGAATCAGGCCAACCTGCTTCCTGTAAAGTCATGATTGCCAGCCATTAAATGTCTTCACTCCTCACAGAAATCCTCTCGGTTTCCCTGGCCAGCTTCTTCCCACTTTCCATAATGATTCCAGAGCTTCACCAGTTTCCTCATGCCTCCAAACCCCGTTCCATCCCCAACTCTCAGCAGAGCTCCTTGCTTCCTACTTGTCAGGGAAGATACACGGCCACCAGACAGGCAGTCCTCAGCTTCCACCGCCAAGCCAGCCAACCACCAACACCTGCACACGCCTCGCCTTCCTTTCCGCTGCTGCAGTGGATGGGCCGCGCCATCCCGCTGTTTTCCACCCTGTGCACGCCTTCCCTCCCAGGAATCCTACTGTGTTAATTAACTCTTCCTCTCAACTGAGTGCTTTCTATGCATTTAGATATACTCAACTCCCTCCCATCATTAGAAAGGAGTGACAGGGAGAGAAGGAGGAGAGGGAGGGAAGGAGGAGGAAGAAAGAGAAAACCCTCACCCGCTCCTCATTCTCCTCCAGCTATCACCCTCTGTCCCCTTTTTTTATGATTCCACTTTTCAGAATAGCTGCCTACACTCTGTTGTCTTCATCTTCTTACTTTCTATCCTAGTCTGTTCAGTCTGCTGTTTAAAAATGCCATAAACTGGGTAGTTTATAAACCACAGAAATGTATGTCTCACGGTTCTGAAGTCTGAGAAGTTCAAGATCAATGCATTGGCAGATTCAGTGTGTGGCGACGGCCTTTGTCCTGGTTCATGAATGGTGTCTTCTCGCTCTGGCTCACCTGGTGGAAGGGGAAAAGAGCTCCCTTGGGCCCCTTTTATAAGGATATTAATCCCATCAGGACTTAATCACCTCTCCAAGGGCCCATCCTCTTAATACCATCATATTGAAGGTTACAATTTCAACCTATGCATTTTGGGGGACACAAACATTCACATAGTGGCACTTCCCATCACTCATCAACCCATCCCTGTGTGGACTCCTACCCCTCTGAATCACCGAAACAGCTCCCACGGACAGCACCGGTGCCCTGCAGGTCTCCATTTTAACCCAAGTCTCGCCCCACCTCGCAGCAGCACCCACCGCCGCTCACCATCTCTCCCTAACCAGTCTCTCCCGGCAACTTCAGAGACACCTGCTGCTCTTCTCCTCCCTCTCTGGCCCCTCCTTTGGGGTCTCCTCTGCAGATTTCTCCTCTGCTGCTTGTCCATTAAAGCTCAGAGTCCTGGGCTTTCCTGCTGCCCACCTTCTCCCTGGCTAATTTCATTCATACCTGTTGCATTAATCACCAACTGCAAATAACACATACATCTTTCACCCAGGCTTATTTGTGCTCCGCCATTTGATACCACCCCGGGGATGTCTCAGAGGAGATCCATACTCAACAGTTCCTCAAGCTCATTGTTCTCTCCAGCCCTCTTCCCCATCTGAAATCCTGGTTCTCGTCCATTCGCTCTGTGTACCCAGAGTGCCTCCAAAAGCCAATCTCTTCCTCACTCTCTATATCCACTCTCTATACACCACATCCTGCAGAGTCTATTTCCTAAATTTCTCTCAAATCCATCCGATCTTTCTCATCTTCACCACGCCCACGTACCCTAGTCCAAGCTAGTTCTAGCACCATGACCTCCTCCCTGGTATATGCCACACTATTCTGGACCATCCCAACTCCTTGCTAATCCACACTGCAGCCAAAACACACGCAAAACATATCTAATTACATCATTCCCTTTTTCTTCTTCTTTTTTTTTTTTTTTTTTTTTTTTTTTTTTTTGAGACAGAAAGCCAGAAAACCAAGATGGTGGACCAGCATCATAAAGAACCATCTTCAGTCAGCATGAGCTTTAGGCTGTTTTTCATGTTAAGGGGAGAGGGAAGAAGAAGGGGTTTGGGGAGAAGAAGGGCCCCATGACCGCAGACACCTGGGTGCCAGTGAGGGTCCAAGGAGGTTGTAAAACTTCTTTTTTCTAGGTCAGGTCACAATGTTCCTGTAAATCTTTAGCATAACATTATTATTTGTCTGTATTCTCCCTTATCTCCTTGGGGTTTAGTTTGGGGGAAAGAACTTTTTTTTTTTTTTTAAGTTGAACTACAAGCTAAACTCCTATAGTTAGCTGATCTATGTGCAGAGCTAAGCAGAAGCTTTTAACCTAAAGGATATTACCCCTGGGGGTCAGAGGCAAAATGGAGTCAGTCATGCTAAGTCTCCCTCCACTCTTTTTTTTTTTTTTTTTTTTTTTTGAGATGGAGTTTCACTCTTGTCCAGGCTGGACTGCAACAGCACGATCTCGGCTCACTGCAACCTTTGCCTCCTGGGTTCAAACAATTCTCTTGCCTCAGTCTCCCGAGTAGCTGAGATTACAGGCACCTGCCCCCACGCCCAGCTAACTTTTGTATTTTAGTAGAGACCGGGTTTCACCATGTTGATCAGGTTGATCTTGACCACCTGACCTCAGGTGATCCAACCGCCTCAGCTCCCAAAGTGCTGGCACAGGCGTGAACCGCGGCACCCGGCCCCTCCACTCTTACAATTAAACCTGCTGTTGCTTCTCCCACCAAGAAACCACTCAGGAAGATTCCTCCGTGTTCTAGATGGAAAAACTGGGCTGTAGCCTGGGAAAAGCCAGATAGGGACAAAGCCAAAGTTAACACAGAGGATGGAGCTTCTAGGGTATAGGGGATGGGTCTGGGCTAGGGAGCTGGGAAGCAAGGTTCTATGCTCGTCCCGGTTTTGATGTTGGCCCTGACAGTGCTGTTTCTCATCAGCTTTTGCCTGCTTCAGGGGTCACAGGGCCATGCCAGATAGAGGGCTGCTAGCGTCACTGGGCACAAGACTGCTTTCCCACAGCTCTCCTTCCTCCAGACCCTCTGTTCCACATCTGGAAACCTGGGTACCCTTCACCCACCTAGCTCTGTCCCATAGTGAGATTTATTGCTGGCTGCCCTGCCATCCGCCCCGGGGTAATAAATCAGGACAGAGCAGAATTGCAATCACCCCACGCATGGCATGTATAAAACGAGAAGGACTAAGGGAGCTGCAGAACCTCCGCAGATCTCAGAGAGCCCCAGACTGAGGGAAGCATGGACGTGTGGAGAGGGGATGCCTCGCTGGGGACTGCTGCTGCTGCTCTGGGGCTCCTGCACCTGCGCTCTCCCGACAGACACCATCACCTTTAAACGGTAATTGGTAATGCAATCAGAGAAGGGGTGGGAGGGGTGCAGGGCTCCCACCTTCCCAACACCCTGGCTTTTCCGTATGTGATGTCATTCACTCCTTACAATCAGCTGGATAGAGAGGCATGGACCTGTTCAGAGAGGTCAAGAGACTTGCCCAGTGAATAGGTGGCACTACTAGTCAGGTCTAGAAGCCGTGTCTTTTGCTTCCTGCCCAGAGCACCATGCTAAGCGCTGTAAAGAACTCAGAAATGATTAGGACATGCCCCTTGCCCTTGAGGAGCTCACAGCCTGATTACTAAGGACTATTAAGAAGGGCATGGGTGGCCGGGCATGGTGGTTCATGTCTGTAATCCCAGCACTTTGGGAGGCCGAGGCAGGAGGATCACTTGAGGTCAGGAGTTCAAGAACAGCCTGGTCAACTGAGGAAAGCCCCTCTCTACTGAAAATAAGAAAATTAGCCGGGCACGCTTGCATGTGCCTGTAATCCTAGCTACTCGAGAAGTTGAGGCAGGAGGATTGATTGAACCTGGGAGGTGGAGGTTGCAGAGAGCCAAGATTACACCACTGCACTCCAGCCTGGGCAACAGAGTGAGACTCCATCTCCAAAAAAAAAAAAAAAAAAAACAAAGGGCATGAGTACAGTTAACTCTACCAGGGAAGCAGCGTGGTATCATGGCTAATTGCAAAGCTTATAGAGATGGATTGCCTTCATTTAAATTTTGCTTCACTAGCAGAACAAACTAGATCTGGAACCATGGGCAAGTTATTTAACCTCTCCAAGTCTCAGTTTACCATTTTAAACAGGGATGATAATAACAGTGCCTGCCTTGAGGATTTAATGAGATAAGGCATAGAAAGCCGGGCACGTTTTAGGAGCCCAGCTACTATTAGTATTATAGGATAGAGTCTTACAATTATCAAAAGAAAGGCTGTAGGCAGCCCACAGCTAGGAGGAGAAAACCCTAGCCTCCACTAGGAGCCAGGCCCTGTGGGAACAAGCGATTCCTTAAGACCGAAGAAGAAAGCTGGGAACGGTGGCTCATGCCTGTATATTCAGCACTTGAGAGGCTGAGGTGGGTGGATCGCTTGAACTCATGAGTTCAAGACCAACCCGGGCAACATGGTGAAACCTTGTTGCTACAAAAAATACAAAAATTAGCTAGATGTGGTGGTGCACACCTGTAGTCCCAGCTACTTGGGAGGCTGAAGTGAAAGGATCGGCTCAACCTGGGAGGTGGAGGCTGCAGTGCGCAGAGACTGAGCCACTGCACTCCAGCCTGGATGATAGAGCCAGACCTTACCTAAAAAAAACAAAAAGAAGCCGGGCGCGGTGGCTCAAGCCTGTAATCCCAGCACTTTGGGAGGCCGAGGCGGGTGGATCACAAGGTCAAGAGACCGAGACCATCCTGTTCAATATGGTGAAACCCCTTCTCTACTAAAAATACAAAAAATTAGCTGGGCATGGTGGCGCGTGCCTGTAATCCCAGCTACTCAGGAGGCTGAGGCAGGAGAATTGCCTGAACCCAGAAGGCGGAGGTTGCGGTGAGCCGAGATCGCGCCATTGCACTCCAGCCTGGGCAGCAAGAGCGAAACTCCGTCTCAAAAAACAAACAAACAAACAAACAAACAAACAAACAAAAAGAAACAAACAAACAAAAAAAGACTGAAGAAGGAAAAGAGGCAGTGTTTGAGAGAAAGCCTCACAGAGAAAGGCGTTTTCATCTGGGGACAGCAGATGTGACCAGCAGTACTGAAAGTAGGAAGGCACATTTTAAACATGGTAATACTTGCTAAGCCTACAAAATGCTTAGGGTTTCACAGGATCTTTTTACATGTTTCATCTCATGTCACGTTTCCAACAATTCAGCATTCCCACTTTGCAGATGAGGACGCTGAGGTTCAGGGAGGTGATATATAAGAGGCTGAGCCTCAGCACACACCGGGCCTTTTGCTTCCAAAGCTGCTTTCCCTTGCTCTGCAGCTCTCAGAGAAGAATTGCTGAGCTGTGAGCATGGGGTAAGAGGAAGGGTGCTTCAAAGCAGCACCACCCCCAGGATAAGGTAGAGGAAAGTAAAGACATCTTCCCCTGTTGTCATCCAAAAGAGAAACAGAATGGAATTGGGCAAGGGGTGGAGAGGGAATCCAGCTATTGAAACAGAAGTATAGGAATTCTGCTACCTGCTCTGTGCAGAACATCATGCGAGGTACTTGGGGCAGCAGAATGAATGAGCTCCATTTGCAAGGTGGACATGTGCATATACACACTCACAATTTACAGTTATTGAGCAGTGGGCACATGGTTTCATCTGCATGGTGACTCTGAGGTAGGGACTACCATTAGACCCATTTTTAGAAAGGAGTTAATGGAGGCGTGGAGGCCCAGAGGGGTTAGGTAGCTTTCTCAGAATCACGCAGGTGGCAAGGGGATTCACGCATGCCCCCCGCAACCACTGTCTTCACCACCGTATGGTGCCAGTTCCACAAGCTGCAGAGTGCAGGCGGTGAGACCCAAGGAAAAACAGAGCAGAAGCCCAAGGAAAGGTGAGGCCAGTGTGGGCTGGAGGTCTTGGGGCAAGCTTCCTGGAGGTGGGGGTACATGTTGGGCCTTGAAGAATTAAAGAACTGGGGGGAAAAGGAAGGGGAAAAGGGAAGAATTTTCTGGAAGGGAAATGGCAAAAAGAAGTCCAAAGCACAGGCTGTTTGTCCGGAGTAAATGGCGGGAAATGCAACCTCTTTAGAGTCACATCTCTGATCCTCCATTTTCCCATCTGTAAAGTGGGAGTCATAAAGTCATCCACCTCAGGAGATCGAATAAAATGATGATTATGAAAATATGTGGTAACAGTCAACTGTGATAGGAAGATGACAGATCATTTCTGTTACAATACCATGCTGCTAGGCATAAGAGTTGCATTCATGTTCATGGGCAAATGGGGGTAAGTAGAATGCACGGGATACAGGACGGAAGGAGAGGGCAACGTGAGTGTAGGGGGACCAGCCGCTGAGACGAAAGAGGGAATCTCCGTGTCTCCGTGTGTGTGGCAAAGTCTAGTGCAGAGCTAACTGGGACCTTCTGGCTTCCATCCTGGGACCTTCTGGTAAAACAGCTAGAGACATCTTCCTCTGGGTTTTGGCAAACAGCCTTTATGTCAGGACTCAGGGGACTCTATATAGGAAATAGGGCCGAGACATGCTCTGAATCCTTGCTCCAGCATTTCTGAGTCACCTTCATCCCTGTGAGGCTTCATTTTCTCATCTATAAAACGGATGACAGCTAGTGTGCAGAGTTGCTGTGCGCCTGCATGGGTGTGTGTACAATGCTGGTGTGCATTCATTCAGCAGCAGCTCAGTGCAGTCCGTTTCCCAGGTCTCTTTCATTCTGCCTCTCAAAGGTGATGGGAAAACAACTGGACAAGAAGCCAAGAGACTGGGACACATCTCTCCAAGGACGAGGTGCATGGTGCTCTGGAGATGCTGGCATCTCTCTAGGCCCAACCCAGCTCAGGGGCTTCACTCCACCACAGCCCTGGCTGGATGCCTGTCGCCAGGTGTCCTGGAAACCTCTCAGCGGCTGCGGGCATCTGCTGCCACCTAGCGGCCTCCCATGGCACTGTCTCCCCGCCAGCCCCCAGTTTTGACAGAGGCACTCCCTGGCCTTCATCTCCTTAGAGGGAATGTCTGTGCCTGCTTCCCCTCTGCCCTCCCGCCAGCTCAAATTCCTTAAAGGCAGTCAGATCGTTATCGTTCTAGCTCCAGTTTCCAGTACAGTGAGGCACAAAGTAGTTGTTCAGCAGGTGATTATGGAATAAATGAATGAATGAATGAATGAATGAATGAACGGACCATAACAAATGGCCTTGTCTAATCAAAATTAGACAACAGAAGGAAGTCACTTCAGGGTTATTTAATCCCAGGGCAGCCGACTCTTCTAAATTGACTCTTGACAAGCGGTAACTCTCATAAATGCTCCAGAGGCCCTCAGGGACAGAAGTGATTTCCACGTGGCTGCATTAGAGGCGTTAGAGGCGTTTGTACTAAAGCAGGGGTTTGGCCTGGAGGACCCTCTCATTAGGGTGCAAGTACACACTTTTTTATTTGTGCCTCCTCCACCCTGGGCCAGGATCTCCCTTAAGAGAATGCCCTCAATCCGAGAAAGCCTGAAGGAACGAGGTGTGGATATGGCCAGGCTTGGACCTGAGAGGATGGCCCTTGTCAACGTCACCTCCTCTGTGATCCTCACCAATTACATGGACGTGAGTGCCTGGCTCGGCCCTTCGCTCCCTCTCTCCCTCCTTTCCCTCACGGTCTAGGGCTTTCTTTGCTACAGGTCCCACCCTCTCCATGCTGTGTTTGACTAAGGTGCTGAGGAGCACGTGAGCACCCCAGAAAATTCCCACTTTCCCCCGGGTGCGGTGGCTCGCACTTGTAATCCCAGCACTTTGGGAGGTGGAGGCAGGAGGATCACCTGAGGTTGGGAGTTCGAGACCAGCCTGACCAAAATGGAGAAATCCTGTCTCTACTAAAAACACAAAATTAGCCGGGCATGGAGGTGCATGCCTATAATCCCAGCTATTCAGGAGAATGAAGCAGAAGAACTGCCTGAACCTGGGAGGCAGAGGTCGCAGTGAGCCAAGACTACACCATTGCACTCCAGCCTGGGCAACAAGAGCGAAACTCCATCTCAAAAAAAAAAAAAAAAAAAAAAAATCTCATTTTCCAGCTGGAAGGCCTGACCACAGAAGACAGAAAGGCACTCAGGAGCCAGTCAGGGGCAGGGTTAGGTTTGGAACTCAACCCAGGCCTCAGCCCAGGTGTCACAGGTGGGTGGGAAGGGCTATGTGACTCAGGTGGGGGTTTCTGTGACCTGGCCCAGCACGGGGGGCTTCCTGCCCTAGCAGATCCTCAAGGGTCAAGGTTCCTTCCTGCTTCATTCTCAATGTTTTTATTTCACCCTCTTGCCTTACTGAGACTCTCACTTTCTGGGATGCCAAGGGATGATGCTAAGCCTCCTAGCAGCTCCTGCAGGAAAATGGAAACCCAGAGAGGCCATAGGACCCCACCTGGGCCAAATCTCCTCCCAAGAGCCAAGAGTGGGTCCAGGCAAGACCCCAAGACCCAAGCTCCCCTGAGCCCCTCCAGCCCTCTCTTTCTATTTACCCCCACAGACCCAGTACTATGGTGAGATTGGCATCGGCACCCCACCCCAGATCTTCAAAGTTGTCTTTGACACTGGTTCGTCCAATGTTTGGGTCCCGTCCTCCAAGTGCAGCCGTCTCTACACTGCCTGTGGTAAGACCTAAGGCCCACGGCGCCTCTCCCCAGTCCCCCTGCCCTGCTGTGCATGAGCAATCCTGCCCCTTACCCAGCTCCATCCCCGTTACCACCAAGGTAGTGGCTTCCTCTCTGCCTCTGTGCCCACTGACACTTAGGGGAGAGAGGCAGATGGCTCCCATTTTTCTGATATAGCCACCAAGGTAAAAGAATAAAAAAAAAAAAAAAAGGCAAGCTCCAAGAACCCCTGGCCACCCAGAAGGCCACTCTCCAGTCTTCCTGAAATTGAGACAGGACTGAATTCTCAAACCCATTGCAGGAACTCAGAACTCTTCCACCCCTAGACTTTTTTTTTTTTTTTTTTTTTTTGAGCTGGAGTTTCGCTCTTGTTACCCAGGCTGGAGTGCAATGGTGTGATCTTGGCTCACGGCAACCTCCATCTCCTGGGTTCAAATGATCCTCCTGCCTCAACCTCCTGAGTAGTTGGGATTACAGGCTCCTGCCACTATACCCAGCTAATTTTTTGGTATTTTTGGTAGAGACAGGGTTTCACCATGTTAGCCAGGCTGGTCTCGAACTCCTGACCTCAGGTGACCCACTCACTTGAGCCTCCCAAAGTGCTGAGATTGCAGGCCTGGGCCACCACACCCAGATTCCATCCCTAGTCTTAATCAACAACCTCTTATTGTGCACTTACTCTGTGGCAGCATCTTCTCTGCTGCTATCGGTGCAGTGATTACTTCAAATTCCTTCATTTAGGACAAAATTCTCGAGGTATGGGCACATGAGGGATGGCCCAAGAAAGCCAGTCTTTGATTGATGAAGCACATAGTCCAAGCCCCCTGACCCTAGGGCCACTCATCCCTGCATCTAAGCTAAGTCCTAAGCCACACCAGCCATACCCATAATGCACCCTGCCTCCGAGTCCCCCTGTCTGGGCCACCATTGGACAAACCTGAGCCTGTGTTCCCCAGCGTATCACAAGCTCTTCGATGCTTCGGATTCCTCCAGCTATAAGCACAACGGGACGGAACTTACCCTCCGCTATTCAACAGGAACAGTCAGTGGCTTTCTGAGCCAGGACGTCATCACTGTAAGTGGGGCCGCCCTAGGTCATCTGCCCCCCACCCCTTCTGTTCCCAGGCCTCTCCCAACCCTCCATGGGCCACACCTAGGGGGAGGTGCACTGCACCCCACTCGAAGCCTGGGGAGCTGAGGAACACCCTGCTCTGCCGCATCTGACGGGAGCTGCAAAATAGCAGTACCTGTGGGGGAGCAAGCCTGGGCCACAGGCTCACCGCTGGGTGACTTACAGAGGCTTTTGCATCTAACTTAACTTTATCTAACATAGGGCTTGTCCTGAGCCCCACAGCTGCAGTCAAGTCACTTGTCCAAGTTCACCAACTCTGACTGGGCTCTTAGCTACACCTTACACTGAAATCCAGGGGCAGGGGCCGGGTGAGTTTTAGCGTCAGTCATAGATTTTAAGGTCACCGTTGAGGTTGACCTTGGGAATTGCGTCAAGGCCTGCTTTTCTTTTTATTTGGCCCATGTCTGAGCCTTTCCTCATTCTGGAGTTTCTCAGCCCCTGCTCCATCACTTAGGGGAGGGGTACACATGGAACCTGAGAGGAAATCCGGGTGATTTCTGCCTCCCTCCCTTTTTCTGTGAGCTCAGGTATAAAGGAGGAAGAAGAGCAAGCTTGGTTGTGCTGGAGAAACTCTTCACCCACGATAAGGGAGAAGGCCGAGACCCAGTACGGCCGGGCATGAATGCCAGACCACTGGGGAGGTGGTGGGGAGCTTTGGCAGCTTCTCTTTTGCTGCTTGGCAGGACCACCCTCTCAACCTCTGCTGTCCAGTCCCTGGTCAACTCCGGCTCTCTCTGGGCTCCGCAGCAGAGATGTGTATTGGCACAGAGTGTATGCGTGCAGGGTCTAGGAAATATTCTTACCCTGATTTCTGTCCCCTGGAGCGTGTGTGCCCCTGGGATCCCTAGTGTAGAAGCCTAGACCAGACTCCAGCCAAGGAGTGGGCAGTGGGCTTGGTCTCCTCTGGTCCTTCCTCCCACAGGTGGGTGGAATCACGGTGACGCAGACATTTGGAGAGGTCACGGAGATGCCCGCCTTACCCTTCATGCTGGCTGAGTTTGATGGGGTTGTGGGCATGGGCTTCATTGAACAGGCCATTGGCAGGGTCACCCCTCTCTTCGACAACATCATCTCCCAAGGGGTGCTAAAAGAAGATGTCTTCTCTTTCTACTATAACAGGTGGGGCCTGGGACCCCAGGGACCCCAGGGACACCAGGGGCTGAGGTGGGGGAGGCAAGGGGAGAAGAGCTGGGGAGCGGAAAGAAGGTCTGGGCCAGAATTGGTTGTGAGTAGGTGACGGCTATTCTGTATCTAGAGCTGCATTAGCAAATATGGAAGCTACGACTGAAATTTAAATTAATTTGGTACAGTTAAGCATGAATTAGGCACTCAACAAGTGGCTCTTAGTTGCACTAGCCACATGTCAAATGCTCGGCGGCCGTGGTGGCTAGTAACTACGGTCTTGGACAGTGTGGACAGAGAACATTCCCAGCATGGCAGGACATTCTAATAGACAGTGCCACTCTGGAGCAAGAGGAGATGCCAGGTGGGGATGGTGGAAAATAAGGTGTTTCTGTGACCTGGAGCCCTGCCTGTGAGGGCCACGGCTCCTCCCACACAGAGACAGGCAACCTCGGTCATCCATTAGATCCCTCATTTGTTTGTTTGCTCACTCATCCATTCAGTAAATGCTGTGTGCCAAGCACCGTGGTAGGCTCTGGGGGTACAGCAGTGAACGTAGTGATCAAGGCAGAATCCACACTCCTTACCCACATAGCGCTTACAGGCTAACAGGGAAGACAAGACATATTCCAACGTAATGAGTGTCACAGGCAGGCAGCGAGTGTGGTGCTGAAACCATGGACGCTTTTCAGTTCTAGGCTGAGCTTATATGCAGCTCAGCCAGCCTTGGGGAAGCTGTTGTCAGCCCTTGCAGAGGGTTGGGCTTTACTCCAAACTGCTGGGCTTAGGAAGATGGCATGAGTTGGAGATAAGAGGGGCTGGGAGCAGTGGCTCACGACTGAATCCCAGCACTCTGAGGGGGGCCGAGGCGAGAGGATCACTTGGGCCCAGGAGTTAAGGCTGCAGTGAGTCGTGATTGTGCCACTGCACTCCAGCTAAGGCAACAGAGTGAGCTCCAGTCTCAAAATAATAATAATAATAATCACAAGGGTAAGAACACAAGGCCAGTGGCAAAAAGAATAGAGGAGAGGAGGTCAGGCTCAGTGGCTCACTCCTGTAATCCCAGCACTTTGGGAGGCCAAGGTGGGTGGATCACAAGGTCAGGAGTTTGAGACCAGCCTGGCCAATATGGTGAAGCCCCGTCTCTATTGAAAATACAAAAATTAGCCAAGTGTGGTCGCACACATCTGTAGCCCCAGCTACTCAGGAGGCTGAGGCAGAAGAATAGCTTGAGGTGAGGTGGAGGTTGCAGTGAGCCGAGATTATACCACTGCGCTCCAGCCTGAGCAACGGAGTGAGGCTTCATCTCAAAAAAAAAAAAAAAAAAAAAAAAAAAAGAGAATAGGGGAGAGGATCGGAGTCCGGAGACATCTCAGAATGAATGGAGAGGAGTCTCTGGTTTGGTGATAGGAAGGGAGGCCTTGAGAAAAAGCCAACTGCTGGCTCTGCAGTCCGGGGTGGTCTTCAGAAGAGCGTTTTGGAGGAGGTGGGGACAAGGCCAGATGACAAGCAGTTAAGAGGCAGACGTGGGTGACAGGAAGTGGAGGTCATGAGATATAGGCTGCCCTGGGAAATTCAACGGGGAAGGGAATGGGGGTGGTGTGTGGGGTGAGATCCAGAGCAGGCGAGGAAGGGTGGGTGTTTTAAAATGCTAGAGGATGCTCGGGTGATGCCTAGAGGTGGAGGAAGAAGCCAATGGAAAGAAAGAGATTAAAAATGTGGAAAGAGGAGGAGCTAAGTTGGGGCACCGAAACTTGGAGGCCCTGGAAGAGAGGAGGATCCAGCAGACAGGAAGAAGCCAGGCTTTCGGAGGAGAGGGCCGGCCTCTTCCTTTAACTTGGGATGGGAAGGAGGGAACATCTGGAGCGATCCTGAAGTGTTGGTAGAGGAGCAGGAGGGAATTTGTGCTGGCACATATGCATACATTCTGAATTTGTAGAAACACAAGCACAAAATAACATATGGACACCTACACACCCATGCACACATTGTGCATGGGTGAATGCTAGTATGAATTCTGGAAAAACACATCACACACACATGCATGCCCTGGAGAATAGGCCTACGGTAGTCCCTGAGCCAAGTGCAACGTGGAGGGAAGGAAAACTCCAGACTGGGCACCCGGAGCCTGGCTCCAGTGCCATGCTTGTTCACTCACGGCCTCGGTAACCTCAGGCAGGAGACTCCACCTCTTGGTGACTCCATTGCCTGAAGAGCGAAGAGTACAGAACACCCACCCTGCCAAACAGCAGGGCTGATGAGGTAAAATGAAGCTTCCTTTCTGCTGTCTCTCTTTCTCTGCAGAGATTCCGAGTAAGGAGAAAGGACCCCCCCCATGGCTGTGACCTTCCAGTATTCCCTGAGCACCTGACCTAGAATCCCACACACCACCGGCCCACAACTCGAATCAGCAAGCCCAGCCTCCACTAGATCGCGAAGTTCTCTGTCCCTCCTTCCAGCTCTCTCCATCCCCCTACCCACCCCACACCCAACAGCCTCCCCAGGGTCCCCTCCCACGCACTGCTCAATCAGCAGCCACCCAGCCCCGAGTGCAGGGCGTCCATTTGTGTCTTGTTCAATCCACTCACAGTCCTTGAACCTGCTCCTTTCCTGTGACCTCTCTGGGGATGCTTTTGGGGGCACAGTTGGACTACCCTGCAACACCCTCTGGTTGGGCTTGGGGAGGTGCAAGAAAGGCAGAGAAGCAGTAGTCCGCGCTGGCTGGCTGTCCCACATGCCCCTGCCCTAGAGCCCTCTGTCCTGCCCTGCACCCTTGCCCAACTTTCCCCGATTGCCTGAGTCCCTGGGTCGTGGAGGTTATGGGTTTCCAAGAGCTTCTGATCTCTCCTTTAGGAATTCCCAATCGCTGGGAGGACAGATTGTGCTGGGAGGCAGCGACCCACAGCATTATGAAGGGAATTTCCACTATATCAACCTCATCAGGACTGGCCTCTGGCAGATTCCAATGAAGGGGTCAGAAATCCTCAACACTCCCCAGGCTCCAAAAATTGCTGTCGTCACTGGGGTTGGGGAGGGTGGGGAAGGGGCATCCTGCCCTCTTTCCAACGCAGCCACTTCTTAAGCACAGCCACCATTTGCTCTCTGCCTGCTCTGTCCAGCCTGGGGAACAGAGAAGGGAGGGACCCGGGGAGAAGCAGTGGAGAGCGACAGTACCTTCCCCCCTCCACTCACTGCCTCAGTGGGCCACCAGCATGGGCTCCACCCATCCACCCACACTCAGGAAGGACATGCAGCCTGGAGGTGCCCATTGGCCTTCTGTCTGTCTGACCGACTGTGGCTTCCCCCAGGGTGTCTGTGGGGTCATCCACCTTGCTCTGTGAGGACGGCTGCCTGGCACTGGTGGACACGGGTGCATCCTACATCTCGGGTTCTACCAGCTCCATAGAGAAGCTCATGGAGGCTCTGGGGGCCAAGAAGAGGCTGTTTGATGTAAGAAGCCAAAGAGGGAAGGTGCCACGGGTCGGGGGAGCGCCACCTGGTCTTCGCTCACAAATCCCCCAGGCAGCATGAGGTCCCAAAAGAGGCCATCTCAGGCCTTCGCTTGTTCACCTCACACTTTACATGTGTGGCCAGTCACTCACGGAGAGAGGCCAGGCCGCCAGTGCAGGACCCCTTGTCTGCTGAGATGCCTTCCACACTCAAGAAGGCTCCCTTTGCCCCCCACCACAGTACGTTGTGAAGTGTAACGAGGGCCCTACACTCCCGGACATCGCTTTCCACCTGGGCGGCAAAGAATACACGCTCACCAGCGCGGACTATGTATTTCAGGTGAGGTTTGAGTGGGCCCCCTCGGTGGCAGGGAGGAAGGCTGGACAGAGACCCCCAAAGGGGAAAAGATTACAGGGCTCGGTTATGTTAGAATCATAGTTCTCAAACTTGGCTGTGCGTGTCACCTGGAGAGCTCTGAAAAAAAATCCTGGTACCGGGGCCACATCCCATACCTATTAAATCAGAACCTCTAGGAGTGGTACCCGGGGCTTGGTCTCCCCAGGTGATTCCAATGTGTGGCCACGTTTGGGAATCACAGGGCCTGTTCCCTCATCTCCATTTTCTTATCAAATGCTCCTGGTAATCTTAGGCTCCTGCATTCTGATCCTCTTTTCATCACCAATAGGCTTAGAGAAGTTGAAGAGCTTGTCTAGGGTCAGAAGCTAAGGTGAACCGTGGGCTACTATAGGAAGTATGGGGCCCGATGCACTGTTTGCCTGGCATCTAGCACGGGACCTAAATGCAGCAGTGGTGCAGCCCATGACGGAGCAAAAACGGCCAAGAAGTGAGGGAGGCTCCGGGTGGCTAGGGGAAAGGGGGCGAGAAGGCGGAATGTGACTGAAGACAGCTGCTGGGGTCAGGCACGGTGACAGGAGAATGCTGAGGTGCTGGGTAAGGAGAAACTCTCCCCTTCCTGCAGGAATCCTACAGCAGTAAAAAGCTGTGCACACTGGCCATCCACGCCATGGATATCCCACCACCCACTGGACCCACCTGGGCCCTGGGCGCCACCTTTATCCGAAAGTTCTACACAGAGTTTGATCGTCGTAACAACCGCATTGGCTTCGCCTTGGCCCGCTGAGGCCCTCTGCTGCCCAGGCAGGCCCTGCCTTCAGCCCTGGCCCAGAGCTGGAACACTCTCTGGGATGCCCCTCTGCCTGGGCTTATGCCGTCACGTGGAGGCACCGGGTATGGAGCTCCTGCTGGAGGCGTGCCCTGACCCCTGCACCAGCCCTTCCCTGCTTTGAAGACAAACAGAATAAAGACTTCATGTTCACAGCCTGTTGCATCTGGGTTCACTAGGGTTTAGGACAGAGGGGCTGCGTGATCATGTATGGACAGGAAAGTGACACGGACGAGCTACACATTCATGCTGTCCACAGGTTCCTGCGTGCAGGGATGATGCCATCCATCGGCCATCAACAGGACTCAGGTGGAGCTGTTTACACAACCTTGGGTGGGAAGCCTGAAGAGAGCCGGCACCAAGCCCCCTCTAGTCTCTCAGGAACCAAGGCTACTGCTGTGGCAGTAGACCATGGGTCAGAAGGTTCTCCCAGTTCACAGAAGCCAGCTCTGAGTTCAGACTCTGCTCTGCTGAGCTAGTCAGCCCTATCTCTTGTCCCTGCAAAACTCCCCTCCACTCTCCTTACTGCCCCTGCCCCTGCCCCATGTAGCCATTTACACAGGCACTACCTGTGTAAGGCACTACCACCTAAAACCATAGAACACCAGAGATCCGGGCAATACTTCCACTTTACAGGTGGGGAAACTGAGGCCCAGAGAATGGAAGGCCTTGCCCAAGATTACTCAGTCAGGAATCAAGTAGTGGCTGGGCGTGGTAGCTCACGCCTGTAATCCTAGCACTTTGGGAGGCCGAGGCAGGTGGATCACAAGGTCAAGAGATGGAGACCATCCTGGCCAACATGGTGAAACCCCATCTCTACTAAAAATACAAAAATTAGCTGGGCGTGGTGGCGCGTGCCTGTACGCTACTTTGGAGGCTGAGGCAGGAGAACGGCTTGAACCTCCTGGGAGGCAGAGGTTGCAGTGAGCCAAGATTGCACCACTGCACTGCAGCCTGGTGCCTGGTGACAGAGCAAGACTCTGTCAAAAAAAAAAAAAAAAAAAAAAAAAAAAAAAAGAATCAAGTAGTGAAGAATACTGAAAGATAGTGAAGAATCAAGACTGGAACCCAGTCCGTCTGAACCGGGTCCTGGGGGCTTTCCACTTTATCACAAGCAGTGGGTACTGTCACAAGTACAGTGCTGCACACACCCTGGTTCAGGGCCACGTGCACAAGCACACAGGCACGCACACACACTGCTATCCTCCATCCCATCCACCCAGACTCCTCAGGCTGAAGTCTCTTCTCTCACTCTTATATTATTGGGCTGTCTGGGGGCATGTGGAACTCGGGAAATGAGAAATCAGCATCCATCTGGAGCTGCCGAAGGCATCTCTCTTCACCACAGTTGCTCACCTCTCTTTTGACAGAGTTACTGAACGGCCCAACCAGGCCCTCAGTACCTCTCGAGTCCCTGCAAGAGTCCCTGTGCAGAGCCAAGAACCCAAGCCTGGGCATCAGGACCCTGGACTCCCACTGATTCTCCATGTTCTCTTGCCCTGTGTAGCTGTACTTTCTCACTGCAAAGGATGTGTTGGAGGCCAGGGTTTTTTTCCAGCTCCGTCCCGGGGCTCCATGACCTTCAGAAGGCAGACATGACCCCATATCTCCTTCACTGTCCAAAATGGCAGCCACATGTGGCTATTTACACTAAAATTAAAATTAAAATCGAATAAAATCAATGTGGCTAGTGGTCACTGCGTTGGACAGCAGAGATACAGAACATTTCTATCATTGCAGAAGTTGTGCTAGGCAGAGCTGGATTCTGGACAGCAGTAAGCATAGGAGCCTTGTGGCTGAGAGGTTCAGGGATAGACCAAAGAGGTAACTGGGGAAATAGGAAAGGGCCCCTTCTCTGAAGGTGCTTTTCTGGGTGGGGCAGTGAGGGATGGTGACTAGTGAGATCCCTAAGGCCTCACTATAGCAAAGAGGGCCGGCAGCCAACAGAGCCCTGCTCAGGAGGTGGCAGAGAATGACCAAAGGAGAGAGTCTGCCTAGCAGAGAGACTTGGAGCCAGCCTGGCCTCTCTCCAGGCTCCTCCCCACAGCAACCCTGCCCCGGACACCTTGTCACCCCTTCCCCTTCCTTCCCACCCCCAGCCATCACGACGCCTTGCTATGGCCTTGTAGCTGTGCCAGGCCTTTAGTTCTCCTCCCCAGGACGTGGGCAGGGTCTGTCCACTTCACATCCCGAATGCCCAGCAAAGCACTGGGCTCAGGGATACCCACTGGCCTAACTACCCAGCCCCATTCACACGCTCAGGATAGGAGGGAGGCTTTAACTCAGTACTGCCCCAAGTCCTGCCCAGGATGTGCCCAAACACTCCAACGTCCTGGCTGCTCAGTGGCCTGCCAGGGGACAGCACGGTCTGCTGGCCTGGCACACTCATCCCAACGCCATCACCCAATGTCCCCTCTCCACGGAGTGTTTCTGTCGGGGGTGGGAGGTTGCCTGTGGGGGCTCTCTGCAGGGAAGCACCTTTGAGATGCAGCAGGGGTCGCCCCTGCAGAGTCATTTCCCGGGGTCCGGGGACGGGGTGGGGGTGGGGGCAGGGAGCAGGGGCACAGAGGGGCGAGCCCAAGCTGACGTCGCGGGAGCAGCGGATCTCTCCATTCCAGGATGAGGTGGGGGCGCAGAGGGAGCCCTCCCCAGCCTCCTCCCCCAAGCTACCCGGAGGGAGCAGGAGTCTCCCCGCCTCGGAGGCCGGGAAGCGAGCCACCCGGGCGAGGCGGAGCCAGCGGAGGCCCCACCCCCGGCGTCACCGGGTCCCCCAGGGGGGCGTCGCCCCCGCCCCCGCCCCGCGCTCCAGGTAGCGGCGGCCGCAGCTGCCGGCGTTGGCTGCCTGCGCTCCCCGGCGGCCCGCGGGCCGGGGCAGGGGCGGGCCGGGGGCGTTCCCGCGGGCCGCCGCCCGTGATGTCACAATCGCGGCGGGCCGCGGCGCTCCGGGGTCGGCGGTGGGCGGCGGGCCGCGAGCGGGCGATCGAAGCGGGCAGCTCGCGCCTGAGTCATGGACTTCCCCTGGCCCCTCCTCTACCCCTCCCACTCCCTCGCCGGGCCCCCCCGCCGGGGCTAGCGTCGGCCGCGGCTCCGAGGGGGTGGGGCTGCTGGGAATGGCTGTGCCCCCTTCGGCCCCTCCGCCGCGCGCGTCCTTTCACCTGAGGAGGCACACGCCTTGCCCGCAGTGCTCATGGGGCATGGAGGAGAAGGCGGCGGCCAGCGCCGGCGGCCGGGAGCCGCCGGGCCCCCCGAGGGCCGCCGCCGTCGCGTACTTCGGCATTTCCGTGGATCCGGACGACATCCTTCCCGGGGCCCTGCGCCTCATCCAGGAGCTGCGGCCGCATTGGAAGCCCGAGCAAGTTCGGACCAAGGTAGTGGAGTGGGCGCGGGGCCGAGGATGGGGCCCTGCCGGGGCTGCCACGAGGATGCGGGGACCCAGTCCTCCCATCCTTCCGGGGTGTCGGTCCCAGGGGTGCGCGGCTGCTGCGCAAGAAAGGTTTGGAACGTGGTTTGTGTACGGATCTGTTTCGTCCCTAAGCAAAACTAGGCTCACACCTCCCTCGGCCCTGTACACGCCCCCCTCCTCGTGGGGCTCTTGGGCACACCGGGTGGCCACCCGCCCACTATCGGCATGCTGCGTTTGCGGGCCGCACCCCCTGGCGCTGGGTGCTGGTGCCCCTCGCTGCCCAGAAGCGCGTACCCAGCCAGCTCTGAAACCTGAAGAGGCGTGAACTTTTAAGAGACCCCCCCGCAAACACACGCATACATTTCTGCCCCACCCCATGGTGGGAGCAAATCCTCCAGGCTCTGAGCTGCCTCTATGGGTCCCTGGAGCCACCCTGTGGAATTCCAGCTAGCACCCAGTCCCTCACCATAGCTACAGGCTCAGGCTCAGCACCCCCCCCACACACAGGCCATCTTCCCCAGCGCCAGCTGGCCACAGGTCCCGGGACACATCTGTGGACAGAGCCATCCACTGAATCCACTCTCACAGCGGCTCCATGCAGTGGGCATTCTGGGGTGGGGTGGGGTGGGGACAAAGTTGTGGGGAGGTTCTAAACCAAGTGTGGAGGCTGACAGAGCCCCCTCAACCCTGGGGAGGGAGTAGCATTTTCAAAATAAAAGGTCCTGTTGGGTGTAAGACTGTCAAGACATCAAGCAGGCCTGAGGTTAATTCCAGCACTGACCTAACATGCCATCTGCCCTCCCCTCTCCTGCTTCGGTTTCCCTACCTAAAATTGGTTCAGCCTCAGTTTCCCTACCTAGAATTGGTTCAGATGACCTCTAAGCCCCTCCCAGCTCTGTCCCATTGTGTCCCACTGTGCCCCATAAATCCATGACTCCTTTCTCCTTATCACCTTGCTGTCCAGAGAACCTTGCTCGCAGCCCAGTTGTCTCCCGCCTTTTCTGGTCAGGACCTCTGACCACTAAAGTCCTGGGATGGGTGCCAACCTTAGTGCCCTCCTTGTACCTCTGCCACTGGATGGGGCACGAGGTAGAGCAGAGCCCACTGCCTGGCCCAAGGTGAGAGGCAGCTGGTCAGGATGTTCTGTTCTGGACAACTCCCAGCCCTCCCCTGCCACATTCTGGTCCATGGGGTTTCTTTTGGTGCTGGGAGTGGGAGGGGGCCTTTGCCTCCCATGTAGTGTGGAAATTTCTCCACTGCCAAATCCTATTCACTAGAGGCAGACGCAGGAGTGTGTGGAAGCTGAACCCAAGCTACTTTTTTTTTTCTTGAACTCTATAGAGACTGGAGATCACCAAGGTTGGGGACAGAGTGGAGCATGAGTGACTTGGCTAAAGCACTGGGGGCTTGGGGTGGTTGTGCTCAGCATTCAAATGAGCACCTCCTGCGGGAGCTACAGAGCCCTGGGGAGAGACCAGAGGGACCCTGCCCCACCCCCACCCCCACACTACCCTCTCCCATGCCAGCGCTTCACAGATGGCATCACCAACAAGTTGGTGGCCTGCTACGTGGAGGAGGACATGCAGGACTGTGTGCTGGTCCGGGTCTATGGGGAGCGGACGGAGCTGCTGGTGGACCGGGAGAATGAAGTCAGAAACTTCCAGCTGCTGCGAGCACATGGCTGTGCCCCCAAACTCTACTGCACCTTCCAGAATGGGCTGTGCTATGAGTACATGCAGGGTGTGGCTCTGGGGC